GAGAAGATGGAGCTCGTTGAAGACTCATCTTTTATTTTGATTTACATTTTTGGTGTCTTATAAAATTCACAAGAACACACTTGTATTAAACTATATTATTAATGCAATGGATGATGTTGTTGCTTGTTTACTACTATGCATTGTTGTGATACTGTACATGACGTCCTCCACCCCCGAACGTTTCCGCCGTTCTGGTTTTGGGGTGTGACAGGTGCAATCACAGAAGAGTAACTCTCCTTTGGGTTCTCTAGTTCAACCCACTGGCTTGAAAAAAGAAGAAACCAACTAATAAATCAAAGGTATGTTTTCTATATATAGATTTCTAATAAGTTACATAGATTAGTTAGTTTAGATACTCCAGATTTCGTGTTTAGATCATATTATTTTGTCATTTCCACTTCCCTATGTTTGATCTAATGAGGCTCGAAACCCATCAGTGGTATCAGAGCATGGTCAACTCAAGTCTATTGCACTTAGAATTTGTCGTTTGACTATGTTAGGGTTTGTATGTGTAGTGTTTCTATTTAAATTGCTTTGAAAGACTAGAAATTTGCTTTGATTGAAATTGAATCTATTTATGCTCGAAAATTGACGTTTAAGTCGATCTGCCTCTTCGACACGACGTGGCTAGTCCTTCACCATGTCATGGTATATGCATGGATCATAGTTGTCTTCGTTCCCATGTCGTGATCAACTCTTGATCACCCTGTGCTTTGTTGCTGAGAACCCAAAATATAAATTTAATTAAATCATATATTTTCTATGTTCCACGACGTGGCAGATCTTTCCCCACTTCGTTGAACCTGAACTTCCAGATTCTTCTAATTTCATTTTTATTTATGGTTGCTCATCTTTTTCAATTTTAATCACATGCAAACTAACCTTTATACTAAAAGATAAAGTTAAGTTTGATTAATTGTAAGATTAATTAAAGGAAAAAAATATTAGAACTTTTATAATTTAATTGTTGACTTTTAGTCAAAAGAATTAAAAGACACATAAACCTCAATTATGTTATATATGTAGTAAAATATTATTTATATGTATAACACTAAAATAAACATTGTGTTCTCACATGTTTTATCCTGATGTGCATTGTTAATCTTACCACGACTGGGCTCATCCACTTTATTGCTATAAGGGAGGTTTTTGAGGTAAGTCTCTTTGATTCCTAATGAGGTTCGATTTTAAGAGTTATTCATTGTTTGCCACTCTCACTTCCTTCTTGCTCTTGAAGTGGAGTTACTAAATGGGTTTGATAAGCCAATTGTGAAAAGTTAAATGTATTAGCTTATTAAGTAATAAAACAAAATCCTGTTATGTATATATATATATATATATATATATATATATATATATATATATATATATATATATATATATATATATATAATCAGAATCTTATGCTTCCCATGGAAATTACACCTTATGGTATGTTCTTGTTTACGTAAGCGTCTGTTGTTTACCAGCTCGTCAAAAGAAGAAACAAGTCAAAGACAGGTATATGGTGATCGCGATTCTCAAGCGTTACATGAGTTGAATCTCATTGTAACTTATCATGGTGAATTTGTTGGATAAGGTGTCTAAGTCCATAACTATATTTGAGGTGTACTTGACCCGACCCGACATGGTCCATTTAGGTTGCACTTCACCCGAACAATTTATATGGATAATCTTTTGAGAAGAGTATAAGTTATGATTTATTAATATGTTATAAGTTCTAATATATTAATATGAAATCATATTATTTAAATGGTATTGATCTAAAATTAATTTAGAATTAATTTGGTATGGGCTAATGCTTATTTAGAATGGGCTAGGCTTGCATGGTGAGTCCATGGATAGTCCATGGAGCTTTAACCCATGGATCTCATGGAAATGAAAGGCCATGGGTATTAGGGTTTACATGGATGTAACCCTAATCCACCACACTATATAAAGGAGTCATTGGTACTTGAAATTGCACTAGTTTGTGTGTGAGAACTAAGGGTGGCCGATTTCTAGAAGTGTTCTACTATTCTCTCAAGTTTCCAAGGTTTGTGGTGATTTGTGAATTCCATTTGAGGCATCCACATTATTGGTGCTAGGCTCTCAAACTCCAAGCAATCAACCACTACTAAAAGGCATGTAACTCTACTAGCTTATTATGTTTCAAAGTTCCTCATGCCATGCTAGGTAGGTTAAGAACCTTGGAAAAACAAATTTGCATGTATCTTAGTAAAACATAGATCCAAGGTTTCTAGGGTTGCATATACACCTTAGGAGTGTTTAGAATGCTCAAAACCCTTCAGTGGTATCAGAGCCTAGGCTTGTTTTCTTGATACTTGATGCAAATTGTTAAAAAAAATCGAAAAATATGCATTCTGCTGAAGGAACTCACCGAGTCCATGGGGGGACTCGACGAGTCCATGTGTAAAATCATCCTACTCGTCGAGTAGGTTCATGCACTCGAAGAGTAGAATGCCCAGAGTGCAGTTTTTCGAGTTTTGCTGCTGGAAATGGACTAGAAACATTACCCTAAACTGTTTTGGTCTTATAAAACTTGTTTTAGATGATGTAATGGTTATGCTAATCCATTTTCAATAGCTATTATCAAAATTTCAAGTGTTATATGTGTTTTTTATGATTCTTGAAATTGTTGATATGAATATTCATATACTTATGAGTTTAGAAGATCATAGGAATTATTTGCAAATTGCTTGTTAGTTTAATTATTGGTCACTATGTGTTTTAATGGAATCCATAGTTTGTCCTCAAGTTATGGATTACCAAAATTCACTCTTTTAAAGTCCATTAAAGAAACACATAGGTTACATAAAATGAAAAGTCTCTCATTTTAATAAACGATTAACTCATAAGTTATGAAAGATGAAAAGTTCTGAAAGTTACAAAACTTGCCCTCATTTTTTGGAACATGTAAAGTCTCACACATTTTAGTAAACTTTAGTTCCAACCTTTAGAATTATAAAAGTTAAAATTCAACCCTTATACTTTATAATATTATAAGTTAATATATATATATATATATATATATATATATATATATATATATATATATATGTATAAGAACAAGTCGTTTTACCGTTAGTAGGCCTCATTCACGAAGCCGGTCTATAAGGGGGGGGGGTATAAGGTTGTTGTCTATAAAATGACATCTTAATGGGTGTCCACTCTCACCCACCGCTTCCTTGACTGGTGGAGGGTCGTTATCCGAACGGGTAGGACAATGACTCTAGTCCTCATTAAAAGTATGATAAATGTAAAGTAACTAAATGTTTCTATAAATTCCCAATCTTAGTTAATTTAGGAAAATGTGAATAAGGTGCTAACCCGCTAAAATTACACTTTGCACTTTGTTTAAGTCGTTAGTCGAGCGTGTGTGGTTAACCGGCATACTAACCTGGACTTAACAAGGTAGGCAAAGGGTGGCTTAAGGTTTATCATAGGTCGGTGGAGCGCGTGTGGTTAACCGACACATCGATTGAGTGATAAACATTAAAATCATCTCCTCCATGATAACAACCCGAATGAAGGATGGTGAATCCATCACGGGCCACATGCAGAAAATGCAAAGGTATGTGGACCATTTGCTGAAACTGAATGTGAACTTCCCAGAGGAGTTGGCAATTGATATCATTCTGCACTCCTTACCTTCGTGTTATGATTAATTCCGAATGACATACCACATGAACAAGGAGGAAGTTACACTCAGCAAGCTTCAAGGACTTTTGAAGACCGCAGAAAGTGGTCTTAAAGGTAAGTCGGTTGTTACTACACCTACTCCTACCGTGGCCCCTGTCTTGGCAATTTGGAAGGCAAAGGAAAGAAGAGGAAGAGCCCTTCGAAGGGTACCAAGGGAAAGTTCCTTGATGGATCCTCTTCAAGTGGAACCAAGAAAGGTTTTGTCACTCCTTCTGCTAACCCTAAAGAGGCTGAATGCTTCTATTGACATGAAAAGTCGCACTGGAAGCGAAACTGCCTAAAGTACTTGCAAGATATTAAGGATGGGAAAGTGAAACCCAACCATGCAGGTATTTACACTATATTGTCTAACAACTCACCCTATTCTAATTCTTGGCTCATTGATACCGGTTGTGGTATTCATATATGTTCTGATTTTCAGGGACTAAGAAGTGAGAATGTGGAGCATGGGAAGATAAAGTTGATCATGGGGAATAGGAAAGTTACACCTGTCACGAAGATTGGAGTTTATTCTTTGTTGCTAAGTAGTGGGTTAACATTAGATTTGAATAAATGTTTTTACTCCTCTGAAATGGAGAGAAATATTATTTCCTTTCATGGTTTGTACAAACAAGGTTTTACCTCACTACTAGAAAAACAGCCTTTTACGACGCGCAATGCGTGTCGTAAAACGCTCAGACGATGCGCAAATGCGCGTCAAGGAAGACCCTGTCATAACGAGAGACGACACACTTTTGTGTGTCGTCTATAGACGACGCACATTTACGACATACAGTTACGACACACATTTACGACGCTCATTTACAATACGCAATGTGTATCAAGGAAGGCCTTGTCATAAAGGAAGACGACACTCATTTGCGTGTCGTAACCTTACGACTCGCATTGCGTATCATTAAAACCCCTGTCAAGAAAGGACATGTCATAAACGAAGATGACACACCTTTTTGCGTATCGTAATTTTAAATGTTAAAAAAAAAATATTATTTATAGATTTACTAATTTTCAAATTAAATTTGAATTTAATGTCTCATAATATAAAATAAAATATCATATACAAAAAATAGAATCCATTACATAAAATTTAATGTCATACAAATAATCATTCCATGGAAAGATAAAATAAATCAATAGAAGTTGTAACAGAAATTTACAAACTAATAGTTCTAATAACCTAATGTGTGCCTCACTGTAAACAAGATTTGTGCTGATTTTTTTAAATGTGTGCCTGACTTGTCTCCACTCTTCCTTAGTAACACCACTCAAGGACTCTAAATCTATGAACTTGCTCACAGTATCTATATTGCCTGCAAAAAAAACATAACTACAAAATAAGTGTTGTCTAGGATCAACAATGTTGCTAAACTAGTAAGCATAATACAAGTATAAATATAAAATACAACAAAAAGTTGAGTAATTTTACAAAACAATCCTTCGAGCTGTTATAAAGAATAATGACTTTACCTGACCAATAGCATCTATTGTTGAAGATGCAACAGGAAGCATAGGATTTGTATAGTCCCTGAATAAATATAAAGCTTATTAGGTTAGGGGCATAACCGTCATAAAAAGAAATCAAGTCGGAAAGATATAGTATTATCTTATACCTGCTACGATGACTTTGGAATTTTACACTCAAATCTGTGTGTGCAGAATATGTTATCTTAAGAGAACATGGTCCAAGCTTTGGAATCAAATACCTGCAAATCCATAGGGACAAAAACATCAATTTAAACATTAAAGGGCTCTTCTTGAGACAAAAGAACACGAGGTTCCACAACCACTGGAGCAAGAGTGGGCCCCACAATGGATATATGTGTAAGACAAGGTTCAAGATCAATTGTCCCACCACCTTTCTGAATTTTTTTAAAAAAAATTGTGGATGATAGCATACTTACCTGATGGAAGCCTACTCTTATCATATGTTCTGTGGTTCTTTGTATGAAAAAAAATTGTGGATGATAGCGGGTTGTGAAAGCTTTCCCAAGCTCCGTCTCATGGTTGACTATATGCAGATCCTAAAACAAGTTTGAAATACACGGATTCAACAATAATACCAAAAAAGTTGCTAATAAACCAAAATATCAAGATTCTCACTCTTGATATGTGTGTATCTTGTTACAGGCTTGATTAATCTTGTGACTCGGCTATTACCATGTTTTTCCATAATAAAATGAACTTAGTACACTTTGTTGGATGTATCATGAGCTATCTAATTCTTCTTTACAACTGTTTTAGTTGCAATGGATATACACCTAAACTTATATTATGCATTTGCAGTGACTTCATCTACTTCATTCATGCTTTCTGAATTTGTTTATTTACCAGATATTTACCAGTTAGCTCGGATACGTAGATGTTATAAAATGAACATTACATCTAGAAGCACAAATGATATCTAATTTTGGACAGCATTATCAAACAAAAGATATGAATGATCAATAAGGTTAACATCTGGGTAGAGAAATACAAGTAACGGGGAGGTTACATGTATTAATATGCACTTTATCTTATTTATTTAACCCATTAATATGTATAGAAAAATAAAAAAAAGGCCATTTTCGTGTAGGAAATCAGCAATAAGTCTTGCTTTTCCGTATGCTTGACCAAGGAACTTTTCTGGTACATCCATTTTCATGGGCAATCTTTTAAATTCCTGCTTTAATGAGTCTAGAACAGAAGAATGAAGGTTAACAAGTTGTACTACAGAAGGAAGGGAAATAAAGTAATTTCCATACCAGATACAATCGTGTTCCCTGTTTCTCTTTTGTTATAAAGAAATTTCCCAAGGGCGAGGAACAGGGAGAGAGTTTCATCTCTGTCACATGATAAAGAACACCCATCATCCAAAAAATTGGGATTTACGGAAATACCCTTGGAATTTGATTTTCAGATTGAAGTACTATAAAGATGTGATTGTGTTTCTGATATCACCTCCACTTGATTTAGCTATAACATAAATTTGTTCAGCTTTTATTTTAAGTTTTTCTTCCCTACAGATTCTTGAAAGCATTTTTGTGATGGAGTTTGCTGTAATTAGATTGAAAGCAACCTTAAAAGCTCCTATATTTTGAAGAGATGTCTGAAGTTCTTCCTAGCGTCTTGAGGTGTAATCAACTATGTCTGATCTACCATAGTCTATGATTAATATAACTGTTGCAACACAAACATATTGGATAAGAAGATGGAGACTACGTTGTAGTCTACCATAAGAAATCTTTCCATTTGTAACTGGAAGATCATCAATCAAGATAACAAAGGGTTTCTTTTGTGGTTCTTTAGTCACTGAAGAAGAAATTAATCTGTATTTTCTTATTTTCTCAACAAAATTCTCAAATTCATCTAACTTTGACATGTAACGCAGCCCTGCATTGGTTGTATGAATGTGTTATTGCCAAATTATGGGAGTAGGTGTGTTCCATTCGTATACTGTGACTCCAAGATAGGAGGCAATTGCTTCAACAGTTACAGATTTTCCAACTCCAGGAAGTCCAGTTATAACAAGAACATGATTCTAATGATTGTTATTTTTGGTTTTGATTATTTCTTCTAGCCACATTTTAACCTCTTCAACCTTCTGTTTGTGAACAGATAAGTCTAGAAAATAGCAAGGCTTATACTTGTCTACCCATAGTTCTTTGTTGTCTTGTTTATGACCTGAATCAGGATATGTAATCATATCAAATATGGAAGGATGAGAATGAGAAGGAGAAGGAAAAATATATAAACATTCAGTTTCATTTGCAGGGCCAGAATAGTACTGGTTTACATTGTTAGGATAATAGTATTGCCCAATGGTTGGTTGTTAAGTGTGAATGCATAAAAATTGTAAGCATTGTGATGAGAACCAAAAGAGAAACTAAAAAAAAGCAAAATATACAAGTTTTTTAGTACCTGTTATTATCTTGAGGATTCAGAGAATTTCTTTACCATCATCTTCATTTGAACGATGTTCTAAACTTCTCATATTCTCTTTATCTTCTAAATTCAGAGCACTTTCTTTACCATTATCTTTATTTGAATGATCTTTTATACTTCCCATATTCTTTTTATCTTCTAAATTTGGCAACGAGTTAATTTCAGCTTTAGAAGTATTTGGTTGTCTTTAGATTTGGTACACTTTGACAGGAGTTAGGATTTGCAAGACACTTTTTGTTCCTTGGAGTTGTCATATACTTGGCAGCAAGTTGTCTCGTCTTGGCCACAGGGGTAGAACCGACTTTTGAACAAGGTTTGATATTGCTTTGTTGGTCACATACTATCAATACAAGTAGAAAGTAAAGAGACCACAATAACATAGAAAAATACCTGCTTTCACGATCACGATCAGGTTCTCTAATTTCGCTTTCTTTTTCTTTTTCTTTTTCTTTATCTTTAACCTCTCTATCACGACTCTTTTCCCTGTCCCTTTCACTCCCATGTCTTTCTGATCTGCTTCCACTTCGATGTGGTCTTTCATGTTCTTTCTCTTTCCCTTGATCTCTCTCTTCCCTTTCTTTCTCAGGCTCACGTTCATGTTCCCTTTTTACCCTCACCCTGTCCTTCTCCTTATCCCTGTCACCACCTCTGTCTCTTTCTCTTTCTCTTTCTCTATCTTTATCTCTACCCTTTCCATTTCTGTCCTCCCTGCTCCTATCTTTATCCCTATCCCTTTCTCTAGTTTCACGCGTACCCCTTTGTTTGTGTCTATCACTCCTATCCCCATCTTTTGGAGATGAACGATGGTGAGAAGAGCGTCTCAACATCCTCTTCTAATGGAGCGTTCTTCATCACGTGCGGTCTCTTCCAGACAAGCAGGTAACTTTCTTTCATTCTCTCAATCCCTTCTCTTGTCTACTAAGTTAGTTTTTTGTTTTTTCTGTTTGTAGATAATGGTCGTGATGGGCACACTGAAAGAAATTTAGAGTCATCCTCGTCGCGGTTAGATTCGATTTTCAGGTCCTTAAGGAATGGCCGCCATGGACAGCATGGGCACCGTTTTAGCATGTCGAATGATGACCAGAAAAGTGGTGGATCTAATGCATCCAGCATCCCTGTAGGCCTTGAAGATTTGTCAGTTTCTCATTTGAGGCGTCCAACTCTTGAGAAGGCCTCTGCCTCTGATCAAGAAAAAGTGGAGGAGGGTCAGCAGACTAAAAATGAGTCCCAAGAATCAGATGGGATGGTGCCTAAAACTGAAACAGCTGGTGAAAGCAGCAGTGGTACTGGTAATGATGATCAAGTTCCTCCTTCTATTCCTTTGAAAGGCTCTGGAGGCACGCATGCAGTAGATGATGAATCTTAAGGGGGCACATATGCAACTTTAGGACAGCCTCATGATATGCAGTTTGAGAGCATTGATAATGGTTTGAGGGATATTGATGCTTTGAGCCAAGAAAGTAGTGGAAGTGGAGCTACATTAGGAGAAAGCCTTCGGAGTTTGGATGTTGAAATTGGAAGTGCTGATGGCCATGACGATGGTCCCACAAGGAGAACAAATGTTGTTTGGATCAGAAGTTTAGGAACTTAGCTCCACACATCCCACTTCTGCTTTAAAGTCCAAACCTGTGATACTCGTCTTCCCAATATTAACTGCATATTTTTAAGGTGCTCATTATTCATTAACAACTGAGAAACACAAATCCCAGTGAGTTTGAACTAGATATGCTTACCAACAACATCCAATCCAGTTAATTTGGGCATGAACTGCCTAATATGCCCTTCTGCTACTTCATCGGCTTTAAGCGTTTCACACTTAAAAGAAATTGTAATCTTCATATTCTCTTGCTTCTTGGCAACTAAACTAACCACATCCTTCTCCCATCTGTGAAGAAATGGAAAAATTCATGAGTTTATTTGAATATTTACAATGTAAATAATGTCTAAAAGGATTCTTAATTTACATAATTAATACCCACCCATGTGCATGATCAATGTTACATAAGCGTTCAACATCATGGCCTCTTCGTTCAACCACTATATCCCTTTCTTTCTTGCTCTGTAACAACATGTAAAAACTGATTACAAAAGCTTATATAAGTGCTTAAAACATTGAGCAAGCTAAAGATTAAACTTATATTGAAGTCTATTATAGTCAGTTTGACCAAACGGTAGTCTTCACCCCTGCTACATTCCCTTTCACATGCTATCTCTGTTTTCATGGAAACACATTTATTACCAAAAAGCATTGCATCTTTTAAAGTTCTTTCTACATGTTTCTACACGCTTTAATACCCAAAAACATCTTCTAGAGATGGAGACAACCAAAACAGCTTCAATGGCATTTTGAAAAGGGAGGTAATGCAATAAATAATGCATCGATGGAGTTTGGAAATACCAGTGCCATGAATGTCGTAACAAACGGACTCGGGAAGATGAACAAAATGACCCGAGATTGACCCATCTGGTAACAACGCTATTGATGCCATTCCTTCCATTTTCGACTGTTCATCCTCCACTTCCTCTACTGCTACTTCTTCACCATCTTCTACATTTTCTGTATGTTACATCAAAACGGAGGTAAAACTATACAAGGGTTTTTTTTCTTTAGCATCAAATTTGACCTAATCGAGCATTACCCAGAGTAAAAGAAGTAATACTTATGAGAGTGAGATAGAAAAAATTAGGGTCGGATTTAGGAACCCTAAATCATCGGCTCAAATTGATAACTGGGAGGTAAGAACCCTAAATCCTCAGCTCATTAGGTTCGAATTAAGAGTGTAAGAACTTGTTGGAACCGAGAATTAGGTTTTTGGTGGAGGTGATTGTATTGAGGAATTGAGGAAGCTGTGGATGAAGATGAAGGCCCTACTTCGAAGAGGCGGGGAATTTTTGGGATGAATAGGTGGGGGTTAATTTTTTGGATTTCATTTTTCCCCCTAAAAACGTGTGTTTCCTAAAAAAATATAAAGCGACACAGTTACACGAAGCACAATATAAAGCGACACTAATTTTAGGGCACGCAAAAATACGTGTCCTCTATCCTTCAAATTTTGGAAAACTGACATTAATTTTTACGGCACACACAAATGTGTGTCATTAATTGCGCGTCGTAAAAGGCTATTTTTCTAGTAGTGCCTTTTCGTTTGATAATGAATGTGGTGGTATTAATGCTTTCTTTAATAATGTTCTTTGTTTTAAAGCATTACCTTGTGATGGTGTGTATGAAACTGTGTCGGTGGTAGATAACCTAGGAAATAATGTGTTGTGTATCGATTCTTCCACTAGCTTGGATAAAGCATCATTATGGCATTGTCATCTTGGACATGTAAGCAAGAAACGCATAGGCCAACTCCAAAAGGATGGAGTCTTGGAGTCATTTGACCTAAAGTCAGATGATAGTTGTGAATCTTGTTTACATGGGAAAATGAAAAAGTCACCCTTCATTGGTACTTGTGCTAGGGGTGAGGGTTTGTTGGATCTCATACATACTGATGTGTGTGGACCCTTCAGAACCGCCACAAGGGATGCTAACCGCTTCTATGCGACTTTTACTGATGATTATAGTAGATATGGATATATCTACTTAATCAAGCATAAGTCAGAAACCTTTGAAAATTTCAAAGAGTTTAAATAGGAAGTCGAGAATTAGTTGGGCAGGAACATTAAGATGCTTCGATACGATCGAGGTGGTGAGTATCTTAGTACAGAGTTCCTTGACTATCTTAAGGAATGTGGGATTATCTCACAATTGACACCTCCCAGGACACCACAGCTTAATGGTGTGGTTGAGAGGCGTAATCGAACCTTGTTGGATATGGTTCGTTCCATGATGAGTCGAGCTTCGCTACGAATCTCATTTTGGGGGTATGCCTTAGAGACTGCCGCCCACATCCTTAATCTAGTCCCTATAAAGAAGGTTGCCAAAACACCTCACGAGATGTGGACTGGAAAAGTTCCCAATCTAGACCACATCAAGATCTGGGGTTGCGAGGCTTTCGTGAGGCACGAGACTCACGATAAGCTCGAACCTCGAAGTGAGAGGTGTATTTTCATCGGCTACCCACATAGATCCTTTGCCTACCTCTTCTACAGAACCATCGATAATGTGGTCTTTGTATCAAGGAGAGGAGTCTTTCGAGAGAGAGAGTTCATAAGCCAAGGAAACAGTGGGAGGAAAATTGACCTTGAAGAAATTCAAGATTCAAGTGGTGAAGGAACCTCAAACCCTAGCAATCAATCTGAGGAGGAAACTCCTATTGATCCGACTGACGAGGCCGTACCTCTGAGGCGTTCCACGAGAGTTAGGAATGCATATGAGCATTACTATGGTTTCCATATTACTGCGGAAGGTGATATACTTATCAGTGATAGCACACTGGTAAGTCTGGATGAACCTAACAGCTACACGGAAGCCATGGAAGACCCTGATGCTGCTAAATGGAAAGAGGATATGGACATCGAGATACAGTCCATGTATGACAATCAAGTTTCGAACTTGGTTGACAATGTACCAGGTCGTCAGACAGTCGGGTGCAAATGGATCTTCAAGAAGAAGACCAACATGGATGGTAATGTACACACTTATAAGGCACGAATGGTTGCAAAGGGCTTTTCTCAAACTCAGGGAGTTGATTATGATGAGACCTTTTCACCAGTTGCAAAGATTAAGTCTATTAGGGTTATACTATCCATTGCTGCATTTCATGATTATGAAATATGGCAAATGGATGTCAAAACCGCTTTCCTTAATGGAAAGTTGACTGAAGATGTTTACATGAGTTAGCCAGAGGGTTTTGTCAGCGCAGAGTACCCTAATAGAGTGTGTAAGCTTGAGAAATCCATATGTGGATTGAAACAAGCACCTCGCAGATGAAATCTTTGTTTCGATGAGAAAGTCAAAGAGTTTGGCTTTTCGAGGAGCGAAGATGAATCTTGTGTATATGTCAAGGCTAGTGGGAGTATTTTTGGTATTGTATGTGGATGGAATACTACTCATAGGAAGTGACATCCCAACTCTGCAGGAAGTGAAGTCCTGGATTGGGAAGTGTTTCTCTATGAAGGACCTTGGAGAAGCTTCCTATATCCTAGGGATAAGGATTTTAAGAGACATAAGTAAAAGACTAATTGGACTTAGTAAGAGCAGCTATGTGGATAAAGTGTTGAAAAAGGTTCAACATGCAGAACTCCAAGAAAGGTGAGTTACCGATATAGTGTAACGACAGACTGAGTAAGACTCAGAGCCCGAGTATAGAGGCTGAGATAGTAGAGATGAGTCGAGTTCCATGTGCTTCCGATGTAGGCTTGGTCATGTATGCTATGACTTGTACTCGTCCTGATGTGGCCTTTGCGTTGAGCATGGTCAGCAGATATCAGGGGAATCCTGGCAAGGATCACTGGACTGTGGTAAAGAACATTCTCAAGTACCTGGGGAGGACTAAGGACTGGGTCCTTACGCTCGGTGGGAGTGATGACTTGAGAGTAGTAGGGTATAGTGATGCTAACTTTCAGACTGATAGGGATAATTTCCGCTCTCAGTCAGACTGGGTCTTTACCGTAAATGGAGGAGCAATTTCTTGGAAAAGTTCCAAGCAGGAGACAGTGGCTAATTCAACTTGCGAATCAGAGTATATAGCGGCAAGCGAGGCAGCAAAGGAGGCTATATGGCTAAAGAACTTCATTGGAGACCTTGGAGTTGTACCAGCTATAAAGGAGCCTATGGAGATTTTCTGTGACAGCAATAGTGCGGTTGACTTAGCCAAGGAACCGAGAGATCATGGCAGATCCAGACACATTGACAAAAAATATCACTTCATCAGACATCGAATAGAAGAAGGACTCCTCATGGCAAAGAGGGTATCATCGGATGAGAACCCAGCAGATCCCCTCACGAAGGGATTGAGTAGGGTTAAGCATCTTCAGCATGCAAGGCGCATAGGGCTAAAGGATGATATTAGTTTTGGAAATTAGATAGTTTTTGAAATTTGTAAAGTGTAATTGACATTTGATGATGAATAAAAGTTGTTGTTTATTTATGAGTAAAGTGTTTCTATCTTTTGTCAATCGTTTACTATCATTTCAATTTTTGCATGTTTTGACTTCCAGAATAATTATGTTATGGTTATCATATTATTCAAACTCTCCACAGTTGGTCATATATTGGAAGTAGATATGAATCAAGACTGTCATGAGTTGGCTTGTAGATGTCTAAAATGTTGGACATAGCAAGAGTTGCTACAACACTCATGAGTGCTCATAAGTTCTGAGTATTGGATTCAACCCACACTCACTTGTATCACTTCATGGAATTTATCTCAAGTGATCATGAGACGGTAATATCATATAAGTCTTCAAACCTAGAGATATTAGTTGTTGACTATGAGTTGGTTATACATTGATTGTACGAAAACGCATTGGTAACTCAATGTCATAACACGTACCTTTGTGTATAATTCAACAAGTAGTAGAACAAGCATATGAGTCGAATTTTATCTGCTCCTTCTTGGACTAGAAGCGATATCTGGGCCCCTCGATGATTTTGTGTTGACCTATGTATCGGGCCCGGTCATAACTAAATTGATGTGTTCAATTAAGTTCTATGTCAAACAAATCGAAAATCGGGAAACAAACTGCTAAACAATAAGTAAGACATTGTTCCATGTATTTGTCCGGCTGATATCTAGAACAGAGGATTATATGATCACTTATCTAAAATGGCGCTTCATAGTTCAATAGAGTTTTAAGAGCTACGATTGTCGATCGGTTCCTGAAGTCATCCTTGCAGTTATAGTTATTAGATTTATCAAAGTGGGAGACTGTTGGATAAGGTGTCTAAGTCCATAACTATATTTGAGGTGTACTTGACCCGACCCGGCATGGTCCATTTGGGTTGCACTTCACCCGAACAATTTATATGGATAATCTTTTGAGAACAGTATAAGTTATGATTTATTAATATATTATAAGTAGTAATATATTAATATGAAATCATATTATTTAATTGGTATTGATCTAAAATTAATTTCGTGATCAAAAGTGTGACTAATTAAATATGGACTCTTGTATTTATATAGTATGGGCTAATGATTATTTAGAATGGGCTAGGCTTGCATGGTGAGTCCATGGATAGTCTATGGAGCTTTAACCCATGGATCTCATGGAAATGAAAGGTCATGGGTATTAGGGTTTACATGGATGTAACCCTAATCCACCACACTATATAAAGGAGTCCTTGGCACTTGAAATTGCACTAGTTTGTGTGTGAGAAATAAGGGTGGCCGATTTCTAGAAGTGTTCTACTATTCTCTCAAGTTTCCACGGTTTGTGGTGATTTGTGACTTCTATTTGAGGCATCCACATTATTGGTGCTGGGCTCTCAAACTCCAAGCAATCAACCACTACTAAAAGGTATGCAACTCTACTAGCTTATTATGTTTCAAAGTTCCCCATGCCATGCTAGTTAGGTTAAGAGCCTTGGAAAAACAAATTTGCATGTACC